TGTTGCTATTGCTATTCAAGTTATTCAAATTGGCTATCTGATTGGATAGATTATTGAAGGCCAAGTTTAAAGATCTAGCAGCTGGCGTTACCCCAAAGCCCGCCTCCTCCAGCGCCCCATCGTCGACCAAGGTGCCGGCGCTGCTGCTGTTGCCATTGCTTAGCAGATCGCTCGTCGAGGCGAACCCACCATAGGCAGCTGCCAATTTGGCACTGCTGCTGCTGCTGCTGCTGGCCAGTCGCTGCTGTGGCTTGGCAACGGGCAACGAGCCGCCCTGCTTGCCGCCCACAGCGGCCAGGCTGCTGCCAGGCAGCGTCTTGGTGGACGAGCTGGCCCCCGAGTCGAGCTTCAGGTTGCTGTTCTTCTCCTTCTCCTGCAGCAGATTGAGGCTCGAATCGAATACGTTTTTCTGCAACAGCTCGTGGTAGTAGTAGGGCGTGGTGCGTCGCTCTATGGAGACGGCACGGCGACCCAGACAGGCGGCAGCTGCCGCGGCACGTTGGCCGCTGCGCTCGCTATGGAGGGCGGCTGCAGCCGATCGCGCTGCATTGCTGTTCAGCTGATAGTGATAGCTGTTGTTGCTGCTGCTGCTCAGCAAGTTGGGCTGCGAGCTGTGGTATTGGGAGGCGGCGTCCTCATCGACTGAGGCGCCATCGATGCCGCCGCCATCCAGCAGGTGGCCCTTGCTGCCCGGCATGGAGGAGGCGGGCTTCAGAATGGGCGCCATGTTGTAGGACTGGCGACTGCGCGACTCGAAGCTGCCGTGCATATACTGCCCGGGGTCGTAGCCAATGGGCGGGGGGCGTGGCGGCGGAGTTAGAGTGCAATCGTTAAGGGGTATTAGCGAAAAGGAGTTGCGCCTAAGCCTAGCCGGATTGTAGCGCGGCACCGAGACCGAAGTGGGGCGACAGCAAGCTAGCTTGCAGGGCTGAGCAATGTAGGGGGGGAAGAGCATTTCAGTGGGGGACTCGGGAAGCTACTTCCCACACATGGGCGGAGGGTTATTCAACATTGTACAGTCATGAATGTGTCAGAGGTTGGGCATGTGAGGTGTTTAGTTTGTGTTTGTGTTTCAAGAGGGGGAAAAAATGTTAGAAAATCAAATTAGAAATATTGACCATAACCAGTTGTAGAAAAAGAATCAAAGAGTTATTTTCAATAAATACAAATTAGTTAAAGTAGAGTTTAAGTTAGCTAAGCTCGTGTCTGTGTGTGGGACAACATTACAGTGATCCCTCGGAAATTGTAAAATTTGGCAAGTCAAAAACATAAATAATATTTATAGATTTCATTTGACAATCAATTCAATTGAATTCTATTTAGACTAAAAATATATGTAAAATTATTTGAATTCTTTAAAAGAGTTAACTGAAG